AGTGCGGTGCTGATAACACCAAGGCCACGGGTTCGGATCCCATGTAGGGATAGCCGGTTCACTCACTGCCTGAGCGTGGTGCTGACAACACCAAGTCAAGGGTTGAGATCCCCTTACCGGTCATCTTTAGAAAAAAAAAAAAAAAAAGATCAGTTGGCTGTAAGTATGTGGGTTGATTCTGGTTTCTCTAGTATGTTCATTGGTCCGAGTGTCTCTTTTTATGCCAGTACCATGCTATATTGGTTAGTATAGCTTTGTAGAATAATTTGAGGTCAGGTAGTGTAATGTCTTTGGCTTTATTTTTTTTTTTTGCCTGGGATCACTTTGGCTATTTGGGGTCTTTTGATGTTCCACATGAATGTTAGGATTGTTTTTTCTATTTCTGTGAAGAATGTCATTGGTATTTTGATGGGGATTGCACTGAATCTGTAGGTTGCTTTGGGTAGTATGGACATTTTTGCAATTTAATTCTTCCAATTCAAGAGCATGGAATGTCTTTCCATTTTGGGGAGTCTTCTTTAATTTCAGCAGTGATTTGTGTTCTCATTGTATTGATCTTTCACCTCCTTGGTTAAATTTATTCCTTGGTATTTTATTTTTTTAGTGACTATTGTAAATGGGCTTGCTTTCTTGATTTCTTTCTGCTAGTTCATTATTGGAGTATAAAAACACTACCGATTTTTACATATTGATTTTGTATCCCACACTTTACTGAAGCTGTTTTTTAGCTCTTAGAGGTTTTTTTGTAGAGTCTTTAGCTTTTTCTATATATAGGATCATGTAATCTGCAAACAGGGACAGTTTGGCTTAATCTTTTCCGATCTGGATGCCCTTTCTTTCTTTCTCTTGCCTGGTCGCTCTGGTTAGTACTTCCAATACTATTATGTTAAGCAGAAGTGGTGAGAGTGGCATCCTTGTCTTGTTCCTGTTTTTAAGGGAAAAGATACCCATTCGGGATGATATTGGTGGTGGCTTTGTCATATAAGGCTTTTACTATGTTGAGATACTTTTCTTCTATACCTAATTTGCTGAGAATCTTTATCATGAAGGGATATTGAATTTTGTCAAAAAATTTTTTTTAAGTCTTTAATCCATTTTTCTACATCTGTTGAGATAATTATATGATTTTTGTCCTTGATTTTGCTGATGCAGTGCATCACATTTATTGACTTGCATATGCTAAACCATCCTTGCATCCCTGGGATGAATCCCACTTGATCACAATGTATAATTTTTTTTATGTGCTGCTGTATTCTAATTGCTTATATTTTGTTGAGGGTTTTTGCATTTATGTTCTTCAGAGATATTGGCCTGTAGTTTTCTTTTTTGTTGTGTCTTTGTTGGTTTTGGTATCATGGTAATGCTGGCCTCATAGAATGGGTTTGGGAGAATGGCCTATGTTTCAATTTTTTGGAATAGTTTGAAGAGAATTGGTATTAATTCCTCTTTAAAGTTTTGGTTGAATTCAGCAGTGAAATCATATGGTCCTGGGCTTTTCTTTGTTGGGAGACTGCTGATTACTACTTGAATTTCATTGCTTGTTATTAGTCTGTTCAGTATTCCTATTTCTAATTTGTTGCCTAGATGATTTGTCTAATGAATGAGATTTTTATGAACAGAAGGAAGACTTTCTATCCTTTCCTGAGCAAAATAAGAGATTCTAGGTTTAATAAAAACTTAGAGTATAATAAAATAATGTGTAATCACTGAAATGTGATTTTACACATCACCTGTGATTGTTTTTCAAGAGTCTGTGTGCCTGCATATGAAATATACTTCTGCTAGGGAGTTTCCTTCCAGCCTTTTATTTCTCCTGACACTGACTGACATTATACAGGAATTCTCAAAGTTCTATCCAGAAGTATTTGGGCCAGAATGACAAAGGTAACTTTTCCTCTAAGAAAAATGACAAGCAACTATGGGCAATATCTTAGAGAAAACACCATCAACAATAAAAAGTAATTTCAAAAGAAAAATTATACTAAGAAAAAAGTGGTCTTTCCCCTACTGAAACTATCTCAAGGCTCCTCAAAGTGTGGTTCATGGGTCAATAGGCAATAAGATATGTACGGATACTGAAAGTAAGCATTTAGAAAATTTTATAACAACTTGTCAGAATAATTTTATGTCTTTATTTTTTATTTATTATATTTCACAAAAATATTGGTCTGAGATGGATTGGGAAAAAATCACTGGTCATTTTCTGTACATGTTTTGACTGATTTATACTACTGCTAGTCCCACTCCTAACCACTTCTATCACTTAGTGCCTACTACATGCTAGTCATGGTCATATATGTGCACTACATAGATCATTCTCAGAACAAACCTGAAATGTTATTTCTTGTGGCACAAAGACCTGCTTTTCTCTGTGGGTCACAGAACATATGTTAAGGCTAGAATGCAGGCTACAGAGATTATGGTAAGGAGAGTGAGATAAGGAAATTTGACCAAAATCACATTTAAATAACAATCAAACAATTTTTTCGAAAAATTTTTATTGAGCACTTACTACGTGTCTAACATTGTTTTAGGTCCTTGGGACTTGGCAGTGAACATGACAAAATCTCTGACTTCATAAATCCTATTACTTTAGATTCTAGTGGGGGAGATGAACAATAAAAAAAAATTAATCTCAGATAGAGATAAGTGCATTGAAGAAAAGTAAAGCAGGGTAAGGAATTAGAGTACTAGAGTAGGCAGGGGGAAGGGTTATTTTAGACAATATGGTTAGGGAAGACACAGCAGTTAAAAGGATAGGCTCTAGAGCCAGACTGCCTAATTCAAATACTGGTCCTGTTATTTGCTAGTTTTATGACCACAGGCAAATTATCTAACTGCCTGGGGACTTAGTTTCCTCATTTACAAGAATGGGAAAATAATAGCCTCTACCCAGGATTATTGTATTAAATGAGTTAATATATATAATGTATTTAGGACACTGCCTGTCACATAGTGAGTGCTTACTAAATATGATTACTATTTCCTTAGGAGGTGAGATTTAATGAGGGAGCCAGTCTTGCAGGTAAAATAATGATAGCTATCATAGGATGAGCACCTTAGGGTATTTATGCAATTTATGTACATTTTCACCTTTAATCTTTGCAATGATATTATTACTTTCACTGTATAGATAAAAAACTGAAGATCAGAAATGTTAAAGAGTTTGTTTAAGGTCATACAACTAGCTAATAGGTGTCAGTGAACTTTGTCAAAACCCTTACTTTTATGAGTTTATACAACCTCTGCTTAAGTAATGGCACAAAAGATCTCAGAACTAAAATCTCCTAACTTTTACTTTGTTCATTTGTTCACTCATTTATTCATTTGTTAATTCATTCATTTGCTCATTCCTTCCTTAAAAAATATTTACTGTGTACCTACTAAGTATCACAGCCTACCAATGTTTTCTCTGTCTTCAAAGAACAGACCATTTAAATAAGGAAATAATTATTTTACATAAGAATGATGTTCAATGAACTGCAGAGATAGAAGGTGCTATTATGGAAGTCAGGGGGAGGAAGCCCATGTGTATAGAGACCAATGAGGCCTAGCTAAGAGGGGGCTTGGAGAGAACACTGAGAGGTAACATTAAAAGTCAGGATGGGAGCAAAATCAAAAAACAGATTCTGTGCAGAGTGGGGAAGTATTGGAACTACTATGGAGGAGGATCTTAGAAGGAACAATCGGCAAAGTCTGGGAAGAGTGTGGGAACAGAACAGAAAAGAAAAAGAGCAGAGGCGGGGATGCCACAGCATCTCGGGGTCCTACCTAGAACTGGAAAGGGCCTCAGAGAGCAGCTGGGTGAACTCATGCCCACATAGACATACCCACTACAGTATCTTGAACAAAAGACTTATGTAATACCTTTGAAGTAAACGTATGAGAGTAGTATAGTAGGAACAGAAAAGAAAGGTAGAATCAAGAAGTATAAAAGACCTGGAAACTGACTAGATTAGAAGGTCATGGGGGAAAACAGAACATGAATACACAGTATATAGTATGAGGAATTTTAACATGAAAGACTGACCCTTGATAATTCTGTTTTGGCTTCTCCTTGTTAGTTTTGCAGAATCAGGAAAAATGAGATGAGCATTATGTAGTGGTTATCTTGTAATTCACAAAGAACATAGACTGATTTAAAAATGGTTCCTAAGGCTGGCCCGTTGGCGCACTGGATAGTGCGCCGCTTGGGAAGCGCGGCGGCGCTCCCGCCCGAGGGTTCGGATCCCACATACAGACCGGTTCCCGCTCACTGGCTGAGCGAGGCGCGGGAGCAACGCCGAGGGTTGCGATCCCGTTGCCGGTCCCCGGTCCGGTACGGGGGCAACACTGAGGGTTGCGATCCGTTGCCGGACACGGAAAAAGACAAAAGACAAAAGACAAAAAAAAAAAAAAAAAAAAAGGTTCCTAATTAGAAATTCTTAATAATCAAAATACTCTAAAGCAAGGCAAGACACTAAACTCATCTGTAAGACTCCAGGGCTGCCAGTTTGTGTTTTATGCCCTATTTACTAGCCATTCCCACACCCCTACCCCAACTCCTGTTTATAAAGCAGCTTCCCAGAACAAAGCCTTGCCCCCAAGGAAAGGCACACTATGGCATGGGCCTGACATAAAAGGCTTAATATCAACAATGACTTTCTTTGAACTGTTTAAAGGATTTTCTCTCATTCAAGCAGAGACTTAAGACATTATTTTAAGAAAATAAGATCTGAAAAGTATTACCGATCTCTTTCACTTCTGGGTGCTTGCATCTTCAGCACATAAATAAATGGCCACCATTCACAAGCTGGATTATTTTTCTTGAGCTGCTGACAACTTTATTACAAACTATCTTTTAAGTTCATTAAATGAAAAAGGCAAAGAATGAAACTCCAGGGTATATAAATGGTTCTATCACTGCAGTGATTCTGGTGATGCTGGAGGAAGCCATTGCCTTCTGCAGGCTTTGTGCCTCTCAGATCAGCTTGGGAAAGGCAGGTCTATTGGTTCCTTACCTTCTTCAGCAATGACCGTTAGTGTGACGGTGACACCAGCATCTTTGATCAGCTGAACAATGTTATCATGGGACAATTCGATAATGGACTGCCCATTTACTGCAGAGATATGATCTCCAACTTTCAGTTTTCCACAGCGATCAGCTGGACTTCCTTCTATGACCCGGCCAATTTTATGAGGAATAACTATGGGACAAAAAACCCAAGTTCTTCAATTATTTAAGATGTCTGCTAGTGTTGCATTCATCATCATCATCACTATTTAAAAATTCAACATAATAACAATGAAGAAAATTCTTTAAAAACATAACCAAAAACACCACACATCATCCATTCTATCCAAATGCAACTATTTTCATATCACTTCCCACTTTTTGCCCACATGCATAGACACTCCTTACACAGCTGTAATCATAGTGTGTACACCTTTTTGCTGTTTTCTACTTGCCAGAAACTTTTTTCCAATTTTTATGTCGTCATCCTAATGATCCTGTTTAAGGGCTACTGATCTCACTGATACTGATAATACTTCACTGATCCGATGTCTCATTGTTTACTGCTGGCCATTTAGGCAGCATTAAGTTTTTAGCTATTTTAGAAACTGCTACAATGAGACTATCTTTGGTTCTGATGACGGGGCACTTACTCCCACAAGGAACCCTGTAAATAAATGTAGCCAAACTCAAGTTTAGAACTCTGTAGTTACTAGTCAGAAATCTGCGTACAGTGAAATGACTGCTCATTAAAATGAATGTTCTATATGAAAATTAATTCCTTTTATTTATGTCTTTTGATCTTTTTAAAATTCAAAAAGCTGAGTGGAATTGGAACACTAAATGTTGAATGTTTAAGGCTACTTGGCTCATGGATAAAGTTCTACTCTGAATGCAAAAAGCTCAGCCTAACACATTTGCAAAGACACTCTGTGCAACTCTCCTCTATCTCCAGCTCATGATGCTAAGGGCTTTCCTAGATTATTAAGACACTTTGCTATTATTATAGCTTAAAATGAGTTCTTAAACATTCAGGAAATCTTGCCAAACAAAATATCTTCTACTGTGCAATAAGGGGCATTTGTATCAGGAAACATATTCTTTCTATGTCCTGTGAGAATTTCCTAGCCTAAGTCAGTAAACTTATCAGATACTGGGGCTCCTGCTAACTACTGATTGATATGAATAGGGATAATTCATATTTGTAAATGACATTGTGAATTGTTTAATTTCTATAGCAATACATGCTCCCTACTAGTATTTCTGATTTATATCTAGGAGTATGTTACAGACATTTTAATAGACCTTCATTTGGACCATACAAAAGTTATTCTCGGTCATGATTTATGTCCCTACAGACAGTGCTTTGGCTCTTCTAGGATTATACAATGGGGGAGATTTTATCTTAAAATAGAGGAAGTCAATGTTGAAACAAGTGCCTTTTAGTCTGAATTATATCAAGCACTTATTCCATTTTCCTTACAAACAAAGTATTTAGAAAAATGCCAGTACAGTATAGGCCACGTCCTATGCCAGGCATTGTGAGTTGATTCACAAATAGCATAACAGGTGGCACATCAGAAACTTATGGCGAATCATATGTTGGCCCTATGTGACCTTCTAAATCAATATCTTAGTTATTCTTCTCCTTAGAAAAGATTTACTCCTACATAGCATTCATTCTAGATCCCCTGAGAAGAAAATCATTCAGCTCCTTGGCACACAGAAAGTTGTCTGTTCAGACTTGGGAAAGTATCAAACAAAATTAATCTCTGAAGTCTCAGTGGTTCCCTTTCTCATCATGTGAGCAATGTGGTAAAAAGGAATTGGCAAATAGTGCTACACAACTTCCTAAAGGGTTAGTTGTCTATGTGAGGGAAGAAGATAAAGGTAGTCAGATTATTACTGTCTTGGCATTTATAGCAGTACCACCAAAACAGTGAAAAATAGCAAACAGATCAAAAGAAAGGTAACTTCTAAATGGACTGGAAATTTTTTTCAAGGTAACCCCATACAGTATACATAGCTACAGAAAAGCCTGAAGTCCTGCCTTGTTTTTGTTGGTATACAAAGTCTATAGGCATTTGCAGTAAAGCTAACTTATCCATCTTAATTCATCTTTGGCCTAAATCTGTCTCACAGCCTGGCTTGTCTAGCTGCTGAAATCACTTTAGTGCTATTAAAACATTTCTTTTCAGGAAAAGAAAGGACAGTAACTGGAAATGTCCCCTTCTCAAAGAAATCTTTTGCAACCAGAACCAAAAACCATTTGATAAGAAAGAGTAACAAAGTTTTGAAGTACTGGCAAAGCAAAAACTAACCAAGTCCTTCTCATTTTAAGTACAGGCCTTTTCTAAGTACTCCATTCATTCAGCACTTAGACAAACTGTTAGGATGCTGGACTGGATCCCTGACCTTTGAAAAATTTAACAGTAGAGGATCTCAGAATTTCAGAACTGGTACCAGAAACACTACTAGGAACTCTTCTCGTGACATAATGTCACCAGAAAATACATTAAATTAGAAGAAAAAAGTAATCTATGTTGAGCAGGGTACTGAGAAAAGATCCATAAAAAATAATCCATTCCAACAGGCAAGTTTCCTGCCTTTTCACCTTCACTAACTCCTTTCTAAACCAAATCTTATCTGTTAGAGTTTGTAGCAACTACTTAGTCTCTGTGAGTGAAAGCTCCTCATCCAAGCTGACTCCTTCTTCTATTTATTGAAGACGAATATTGTTCTAAGAAGAATGCTTACAAGTCTCAGCATTTTGTGAGATTATTAGCTAGCATTTTAGTGAAGTTATCAATTCTGGTTTTGCAACACGACTGAAAATCTCAAGTACTTAATATAAAATTCATCAACAACCTAAGCCTAATTTACCAATCAGGCTGATAATTAATGAGCTGTAAACATTCATTTCCTGCCACACATTAGCTGCCACCTCAATCTTACATTTTAATTGGAATTTCCCATCTCATTATTAAGTATTGATAAACTTATAGAAGTTTCTTTAAAAAAAAGGGTCAAGCGACAGTGGCAATTTTCTAAATAATGATGATGATAACAGTGGCAGCAGATGCTACAACAAGCAACAGCAGCTAACATTTATTGACTGTCTGAGCTAAGGGCTTCACATGCATTATCTCCTTTAACCCTCACACTTATATAAGACAGGGAGTGTTATCATCATCCTTATTTTAGAGAGGAAACTGGAGCTCTGGAGGGTAAGTAATTTGCCCAAGATCAGATAGCTATCAAAAGACAGAAGCAGGGCTTGAATCCAAGTTTGTCTGATTACAAAACCCAGTACTTAATGACATTATCTATATACAGAGATCTAGCATCTACATAAGCAAAACCATCAAAATAGTAAAAAACTATGTAAACAAATAATATAAAAATATATTAAGATTTTAAATATAAATATAATATATATAAATAAAATAATGTATTTAGTATATAACATTAAAATTTAATATAATATAAATTTTAAATATAAATAAATAAATATAAAAAACATTTAAGCATATTTAAGGAATGCAACTTATTTTAGTGAATTCCTCTATATTGCTTAGTTTTATGGTAAACACCTGACTCTCCCTTAATTTTTGTAGTGCTAGAAAGAAAACATCTTCAGTATAAAAAGTGGTTAGCATCTATCATGTCAAGTAATAATCTTTCACTGTTTTATTAATCTGAATGCCTGGGATTATTGTATGATATTAGAATGACAATATGACTATCCTAAATAGTTATTTATTTTTAGAAATACTGATTTCCAATGATACAACATGAAAACCACCAAAAAGCTGCTTTCCTTTCATTTTTCTGACACAGGCCACATAATCATCCTCACAGCATCAGTGACAGTTCCAGTTCCAAGTGTTACCATAGCAACTGCTTTTGGAAAATGGAAACTAGTATCAGTGAGCAGTGACCTAATACTACAGCAATAACTCACCCATGTCACAGAATCTTCTTCCTTTACATATTTGCATTAATTTTAGCAAGATTTTTGCAAATTGGTTTGGCTCGCAACACTTTCCTGAAAGTGTTTTCTTACTAAGGTTTTAGTGCCAGTCTAGTCTAGAAGGATCTCACTACCCAAGATATAATCAAATCCTCTGGCAAAGGCAAAAGTGCATTTTCATGTGGCCAAAGATGTTTATCATATGACTTGGAAAAATAGTTGCCAGACAAGCATAATTCATAAATATCAATCTGCTGGCTTCCATTTTATATTCAATTGGATTTTATAATTGCATTTAAAGATTATTTCTTAAAAACATCAAGACAAATATTTAATTTGCTGAATCATAACAGCTCCCTGAACATACTAGATGTAATTCTTCCTCTACTGAAAGAACTGATATGTATACATTCATTCTTCTCACATGAGAATTTTCTGTTAAACTTTGTTCAGGATATTTAGATTAATTTTCAAAGACTCTGACAAAATTTCTACCTTTCAAGGAAACATATATGAAAAGCAGAAATGCCTCATCATCAACAAGGGCACTTTATGGGTGGAACATTGCAATTGTTGTTAAAGAACATGAAAGAACTATTTAAGACATATTTGGGTCAAGATTTTTCTATTAGTCTTTTGTTTCTTTTCAATTGCTTCTAGTATTTAATTCATTTCTGCATACATGATTTCTCTTAAATTAAAAAACCTATACCCCCATATTTTAAAAAATTTAGCATTGTGGGCTGGCTGGTTAGCTCAGCTGGCTAGAGCACGATGTTATGACACCAAGGTCAAGAGTTTGGATCTCCAAACCAGCCAGATGCCAAAAAAAATAAAGAAAAAGTTAGCACTGCATCTTTCACTAAATCTATTAAGTGTGTCCCTGATATACCGTCTCAGTGTAATTTGATGCAAACTGAGCTACTGTGACTTACTTTAAGGAATCTGAGATGATAGATAAAACTGCAGCCTGGAAGGTTTGGTTCAGATTATCTATTTTAAAAATAATGAAAATATTCACGATTCTTAAAAAGATAAGTCTCCAAGGCAATTCATACATAGTTCCTAATTAGCTTCATAAGCTTCAGTGGGAAGTTGAGAAAACTGGACTTGCAGGGAGAAATGATAGGATACAGTAGCCCTACCTCCTGGAGGTGGTTTGTTTTTGGAGGTGAGGATGACAAAGCCAAATCCTTCATTTTCTTTTCGTTGCAAGACAACATCATAGGCCTCCTGGGGACCAGGCCTGGCTAGGACTTCCGTTCGGTTCAGGCGGGGAGATCCATTCTGTGTTGCAACGAAGGCTTGAGAGCTGTCGTCCTCAGGTTGTTTCTCTATGATAAACATAAGCAGTTTTTTTTTTGGTTTTTTTTTTTTGTCTTTTTGTCTTTTTTTCCGTGTCCGTCAACGGATCGCAACCCTCAGTGTTGTCCCCGTACCGGACCGGGGACCGGCAACGGGATTGCAAGCCTCGGTGTTGCTCCCGCGCCTCGCTCAGCCAGTGAGTGGGAACTGGTCTGTATGTGGGATCCGAACCCTCCTCGGCGTTGCTCCCGCGCCTCGCTCAGCCAGTGAGCGGGAACCGGTCTGTATGTGGGATCCGAACCCTCGGGCGGGAGCGCCGCCGCGCTTCCCAAGCAGCACACTATCCAGTGCGCCACCGGGCCGGCCCCTAAACATAAGCAGTTTTGATATTTCTGGAACAACATAATTTTTGGTAACTAAGTGTTTTTTGTGAGTGCCTCTCACAGGAAAATTTAGTCTTTAATAACATAAAGAATAGAAAAGCAGCCCTCATGTGAGCTTTGGGCATAATCTGAGTGCAGACGTAGGCAATAGCAGTCTATATGACTTCCTAAATATTTAAAGTATATGATTGGAAAAACACACATGATCTAATGTTATCTCACTTTAAAGGAAGTTTTTGAAAGCTTCTGTGAGATCTGATAATAAAAAAATTCTTCTTGAAATTGTTTCAGTTTGGGCCGACCCGGTGGCGCACTGGATAAGTGCGCTGCTTGTGAAGCGCGGCGGCGCTCCCGCCCGAGGGTTCGGATCCCACATACAGACCGGTTCCCGCTCACTGGCTGAGCGAGGCGCGGGAGCAACGCCGAGGTTTGCAATCCCGTTGCCGGTCCCCGGTCCGGTACGGGGGCAACACTGAGGGTTGCGATCCGTTGCCGGACACGGAAAAAAGACAAAAGACAAAAAAAGAAATTGTTTCAGTTCTGTGAAGGTTTATAACCTTAACCGATAATTTTAACAAAAGTAGATAATGAGGAATGACACAGTAAACTTCCTTTTAAAATCAGCCGTAAATATAATTTAGTTCAGTGGCTGATATTCACTGATGCTTGGGAGGTCAAAGCATCAGGGCAGAAATGCAATTTGCCATCTGCACAGGATTTGTTGTATATAATGTGTTTTGCAATTGCAGTTTCCTGATTGATGTTATCAGATGGGTTCATCATTAGTAGTTCTCAGCCTTTTCCGCCCCCCTTTCTGTTCAAATGAACAACAAACTTTCCTGGGCATAGGTAAGGTCATATGGAATCCCCAACGAATGGACAGTTAACTTACACCTTTTTCTGCTGTTCAGGATGACATCAGAATTTCAGAATGACACGTTAGTCCTGACGGATTTGTTAAGAAGATATATTTTGTGCCATCCTTTGGTATAAGCCATTATTAATAACCACAATATACTGCAGTTGTGGAATACATATTTATAAAGTTTCTTTTGGCTCTAAATTTACATCATTTTATGAATATGTTTTAAAATCTCAACAAAATCCCACTAAAATCCAATCATTATTGAAAAATAATGGATTTTAAAAATATTGTATAAGCATGGTTAGAATGAATTAGCTAAAATATCTCCAACAATACCAGACTACTATGATGCTTTCCAGGGAAGAGCCAACTTGCAGGTTGTATAACATCATGTTTTTACTGAATGTCTTTATGTTCTGACTCCAACACAACCAAATTGAGGCAACATTGTATTAAAATCTATATGCATCTCTAAATGGCTGGTATAGACTAAGAAAGGCAGGCCTTTACTTTGGATGTTGCAATCAAAAACATAGTGCCTCATTTGTAAGAGTGATGTAAATATTCATGAAGTTAACAAACACTTATTGATGTCCACGCTGTGCCAGGCAGGCACTCTTCTTGAAGCTGGGGACAGATAACTAAACAGATAAAAATCCATACCTTCATGAGGCTTACATTCTTGTGCTACAGAGTTGTCTTTTTAAAATTTAGAGTGGGAAGAATTCACTTATAAAAATTCCTATTTAACATTCACAAAGCTATTGATGAGAAAACTATAAGAGATGTTCATATCCAAGTATAATGGTTTAGACACTGGGCTTGCAATTAAACTGCAAGTTTTAATCCTTGCCCTACTACTTACCAGTTATGTCTCTCAACCTTTCTGTGAGTAATTGTGGAACTAGACAATGACAGTATTTACATCATAGTGTTGTGAAGATTAAATAAAATAATCCATATGTCTGGGACATAGTAAGCATTCAATAAATGTTAAATTATATTATACTAAAACTTCTCAAGTAGAAACATTCTACTCTCCTTGAATATTTGAGATTTCATCAGAAGCCACAATCTTTTAATAGTCAGCTAAAGGGATATCTTGGTATGACTAAATAACTTTGAAGTTGTCTCTTAAAAAAAAAGATTCAAACTGATACTTCCATCTACAATACCATATTAACAAAACTCATCAGTATGTTAATATACTCTTAATACGGAGGCCTCAAATTTATTTCTCTTTTTTTGATAGTAGTATTATTTCTGGATTCTTGTGACCTTACATGGCCTTCCATAATGAAGCCCTGAGTTACACCAAATGGGTTATCTCACATACTATTAATAAATAACCTGCAAAGTTACATAGAAATTAAACTAAGTCTCTTTGTTTCTTTTTTAGCTTTTTAAAGCAGGATCACATTCACATACCTCCATAGAAGATCTTTCTTCTGACAGTTAATAGCACGTGGCCATTTCGAGCAGCAGTTGTCATTAGGTCCAAGACTTGTTTGTGTGATTTCCCTTTAACAGGAATTCCATCAATGCACATCAGTTCATCAGCTGCACGGAGCCGACCATCTTTCTCAGCTGCTCCAAGAGGAATAATGGCCCCTATATATATCTGATAAGATAACAAAGTGTAGGATCGTCTATACAGTCTACTAAGATCAGCTGAAGAGTTAAGGACTTCCTTACTCAGCACTATGCAAAACAACAGATTTTTGCAGTTCAACTGTGAAAACAGCCATATTTTAGAAAGGTGATATCTTAGAAAGTACCCATTTCCCAAAATGGCACTTACAAATAACCACACTGTATTATGTAATCCCTTCTGGAACCTCAGGGTTGTGTACAAAGAAGATAGAAAATACAGAGTTGTTTAGTAACTCAAAAGCACCACTATCATCTCCAACACTACAATGAAACAAAACATTAAACTCAGAAAATGCAATTCTGTGAAGTAGCTACTAAAAGTAAAAAAAGTATATTCATTGCCATTTGGAAAGATTTCTACACACTGTTCACAGCAACTGGGATCATTCTTATGATACTCCTATCACATATAGCTAACAGTACAAGTTTAGTATATAAAACAGAGAAACATTTTTTGTTCCTAAATCTCAACAAGAACAGAGCAGCCTGAGGTTCACTTGCATCTAGGTGAACAGATCTGGTTTCATTCTGCTCACCAGCAATTAGACTCCAATAATTTGGCAATCTTGAATGATTGGGCTAGTTCAGAGCTGCTAAAACCTGACATTAAACAGAAGAGAAAGGTTTCTTCCAAGTTGTTTAAGTTCTTAAAATATCTAAGTGAATACTATGAATATCAACAAAATATGAAGCAATAAAACAAAAATACATATGTGTGTACCACCAAGAACAATCAAAGTATCTTATATTTGCTCTATATAGGGCAACCTGCCTTAAGCTTTATGTGTCTCTAATGATTGTTGCAATAGTAACCAATATGACTAATTAGAACACATTTATATTTTATAAATCAAATGTTCTATTCAGAAATAGAAAGAAGCCTGTCATTTTTAAAGATTATTGTTTTTCACCTAACTTCCAAACATAACAATATAGTGTTTTTTAATATTATACAAAAGAAAATGTAAATATATTCTTAAATTCTACAAAGCACATTACTTCTTGATCATTTAAACCAAGGGCAAAACTTAAAAACAAAGCCTACTACATTTGTTCTCTAAACTAACTTTATGTGAGAATAATGTATAAAAAACTTCTAGGCTTTAAATGCTTTGCAAATATAACTCTTATGCCTTCTGGAAAGAAATATTAATTATTTTATATTCCTCTAGTTTCAATGGCAACAGATGAAATGACATGCAAAATACTGAGCACGAAAATGCCAACCCATTAATAAGATTAGATGAAATAATATGCATAGGCTTATGCCAACTGTTTATGGAGCATTCAGAAGGTAGAGTAACTGTGGTAAAGAGGACATTGGATTACAGGTTTCTCTTTGTTTTTTTGTTTGTTTTTTGGGCAGTTGGCCAGTTCGGGGATCTGAATCCATGACCTTCACACTACTAGCGCCACACTCTACCAAGTGAACTAACCAGCCAGCCTCTTTTAGTTTTCTTAGAGAAGGAAAATATCTTAGAGTCTGTTTAACAAAGGCAATGGGAAATAACAAGTTAAAATAAGCTTTATTTTCTTACATAGAAAAGTAAATACATTAATCACTGTCCAACTTACAGTTGACATATTCATTTTTTACCTAGTTTTTAGCTTCAGCTATCCCACATTAAGTGAGGGATTATGATACTAATAGAAATGAAATGCAGTTTTTCCTTGTATCTGAAAATGTTAGGGAAAAAAAATCTTTAAAAAAACAAAACAGAAAACACCATATTCCACTAAATTACCACTCTTAAGTTTGAACAATAATAGCCACATTTCAAAGTATTTACACTTACAGACTGATCAGGTCCATCTCCTCCTAGCACCCTGAAGCCAAACCCTGATTCCTGTTTTCGAAGAAAAACATCCAAATCTTTGGTGTTTGGTGCTAAGGAAAACCAGAAAATATAAGTTAAGTACTTTGATTTATTCTTTAGGATTTAAACAAAACAAAACCCAATATTTAGTAAGATAATATTATAGAGTAAGTCAATAAACTATAATCTCAGAATTTTTTGATATGTGAAAATTTACACAAGAGCACAACACATTCACAAAAATTCAACTATAAATCCTTGTTTTGAGTTCTAAACAAAACTGTATCAAGATTGTTTCGGAATATTTACCCACACTTCCGTGCACTCAGTATTACACTGTCATGAACTTCTAATGCTGTGCATTCAATATTACAATATTAAATTCAGAATTATCATATATCAGATATATATATGACAGGCACAAATGATCTACATTAACACTTGGGTAAGGTACTTTATAACCTAGGAAAAGAGAGCTAATAAAACGCCTTATTTCTACCCTTAAACTAATACCTTTGTCTCAGAAAAGTATTCCATATGAACTACTTACTTAGTCTAATTTACAAAATGATAGTATTTTAAAGGAAATAAACAACAACTAATACCCCTTATTAGCCATTTTCTAGGTGGAGAAATTGAAGGCCTAAGTAACTTGCCCAGTGTCACACAGCAAGTAAGTGGCAGAGGTGAAATTTAAACCCAAGTTGATTTCTAGGGTCCAGGCTCTTAACCCATGCTATTTTGACCCAAAGTGCAGGTTGTATTCATCAGAATATAAGTCAGGAAAATCTATTTCATGACAAAGATTTTATCTCTGGGAAAGTATTAACATTATATGAAAGAATTATTTACTAGAAAGAGAAAAGAGAGAAACATGTCAGGGAATTATATAAAAATTAAGTGAGATATGGTATAGGGTACATTCCTGATAATATTCTTTAGAAGCAATCTCTTTTGATAAATACTTCCTATTAGAATCATAGAATTTAGAAATTAATGGAGACATAGTCCAACTGGCTTATTTTATGGGTTAGGCCCAATGGGAATGCAGAGTTTATACCAATATTAAGAATGTATCAGACTATGAATGAGAAATTTGAAGAAAAGGACTCTACACAGTTATACTAATTTAAATTCCTGCTATACTGTGCTTACACCTGGTTTTCATCTTCCTAAATATGGCCTAAGAATACCAAGATAAAGATCTGCAACTAGTTAAATAAGCATGAAGTCAATTACATATATTTCCACCTGTATACAATATGTTTTCCAAGGTAGATTTAGATCTTTATCTTTAAAAAAAAAATGAAAAAAAATCAAACCTACTTAAATCCATAATTTTACTTTGGAAGGGATTTATCATTAGTAAATTAGTATGAGAATGAATTTCTTCCTTATGCTCTGTCTCCTCTCATCTGTCAGCTGGACTCCTCTAAGGAATCGACTCTCTGGTTTCCTTCTCATATTATACACCCTTCCTCAAATTGCATGTACCTCTGATTCATCCTCCATACTCCTACCAGGAAAATCTTTCCAAAACACAAGTCCAGTAATATTTTTCCTATTTAAAACCATTCTGTGGCTCTCTATTGTTTATATGACCAACTCTGGCTTCCTCAGAAGGGCATAATTTGCCCTCCCACTGTGCTGCTGCTCTCCTCTGTAGCTTCCCTTGTCAATCACACCCAGCCAAACTGAACTATTTGCAGAACCCAGGCCATGCAAGGCCAATGTGCAAATGCTATTCCTTCTGTCTTTCCCTTTTATCGTCCTCATAAATACCTCTTCCTCTTTGAACACTTGGTTAAAGCTTTACTTCCTGAATGAAGCTTTACCTGACACTTCTACTACCCACACTGATAAAATTGACCATTTCCTACTTTGGATTCCAATTTATCCAGTTCATCCTTCCATCACTGCACATGTTAGGCTTACGCACAATTATTTGCACACACGTTTAATTACACATTTGTCTTTTCCAATTAGGTTTAATAATATTTTGGGGTTCAGAGATTATGTAACCTATTTATCCTTGTATTCCAATTACCTAATATGGTGTCTAGTAGATAGCTGGCACTTAATACAGGGTTTAAAAAAAAAATGAATGAGTGAATGTTGAATGTACATGGAAGAAGCCCAGTCATGTTAAAATGGGAATGAAGTAATAACTTTTCGATGTGCTTTTGCAAGAGGGGAAGGTCCCAGTTTAAAAAACTTTCAAATTTATAAATCCAAATTTATCTTTGTCACATGCTCTCCTGAAATATTCCACAACTACTTACGTTTATCTTCATATAAAGTCTTAGATTTCAGGTAGACCTCAGAAGGATCCAATTTCGGGGATCCTGACCTGATAATGCTGGGTGGAAAAGGCATAGGCTGGGGAATGGGCTCATTTATGGCCTCCAAACTTCCTGAATTTTCCTTTTTATCTGTTTTCTGAAATGGAAAAGGGCCTTACTTAGTATTTTTTAAAAATCAGAGGGTTGATTAACTTATAAAACTGTTGTCTGAACTGGGTATGTCAACTAATTACAGTTGTTGAGATTGCAGGGTCAAAGCCACAGCAGATTTGCAGTCTTACAGGAATTCACTTCCATAGCATTGCATATTTGGTTAAAATGTATTTAAATTAGAAAAAAGTTTATAATGATGTCAACTGAAGGGCCTCAGTTAGTCCTTTGTTTAGGCAATCTTGCCCTTTTCTTCACCACCAAGACACAAATTGACTTTGAGATGAAATAGGAATACGACACAAGGCAGCACTTCTAAGTAAAAGCAAGAGGGAGACTCAGAGAATACCTTCAGAAAATTCTTGATAAGCCCCACCTCCCACTCACTAAATTTAATTTCCAGTGAAGATGTTTAAGATAATAGTCTTTCTTAGGAAATGTGATAGGAAGTGTTAACTCTAATTTAGGTAATAAAGATGACACTGTGAAAACCCTGCCTGGCCTATTCAAATACATTAAGGGAAAATGTACCATGCCAGGCAATCAGAAAAGGGAAAACAGAATAGTATATTTTGATATTTTCCTGTTCACATAGAACTTTCACACAGTAATAGCCAAGCAAAATGACTTCTTTAATAATATTTAAAAAATGAAATTGAGTAAATAGCCTAAGACATATGGGTTGAGATCAACTTATTGTCCTCAATTATTGCTAGAAGGAGATTATAGACATTTGTGATAAATAATTAACACTGACTACAATGCAGGGGCACCAGCTTGTCAGGGAGTAATGAGGGGTCAGTCATTACAACGTGTTGTGCCAGAGGGGACTCTTCACTGAACCAGTCAGATGGCAGTAAAGGTAAGAGCAGCCTCCTCCCCTTTTTCCCACGTCCTAGGATTGTGTCAGAAGCAGTTAAAGGACATCAGAGTCTTCCATAAATTATAAAGCATTAGGGTCACTGTGGGTGCAAAGGCATCCATTATGAAATAGATATAGTGGCAAAGGAGTTAAAAATGATTACTAGAGGAACCAGAGAAATGTAGAAAAATATAGTGCAATTTTAACTGAATGAACAAAAAGAATTTTTGTTCACACTGGACCTAACTGCTACAGTCTATAAAAAGGGAAGACGAACGTTTCTTCCCTTTTAATCCATAAAACAACAAATTTGCAGAGGATTCCTACCTTGTGGGTTAGAAAGAATTATCTGTTTAATACCTGATGTTCTTTAATAGCCTATGGTTTATAGTTATGAAAGACCATCTTTCAATTTTGGGATGAGACTCCAAATCGAGCAAACTAGAACTAAATTAGAATTTTAGATATAACTGTCTTTATATCTATATCCATAAAATTGTGGATATTTAAATAGCCACATATGTACATCTAGTACAGTTTCATCCACAAAAGCACTACTTGGTACACCCTTTTCTTTAGTTCTTATTCCCCATACAGGTCCTTAAATAGGCTATTCAGTTACTCAGAAGAATGCCAAGGAAGACAGTTCCAGATCTGACAGCCTATCCCTTTGATAATAAGCAAATTTAGCACAAAAGACAACAATTACTCTGGAGAGTCTTGTTTAGTTCTAAATGTAAGAAGGTTATCTGTGAAACTATGTCTTCTCTTCAGGCATCAGCAAGAAGATGTAATAGTTTATCATCTGTCCTAACATTTAGTTACTTCTTACTTTGCTCCTCTGAAACACAAAAAATGAAATGATTGCTAAGTAGGTTGGTCTGTGTGTTCACATTTTACTACTTAGAGAACAGGATTATTGGAAAACAGGCCTCTAGTACTCCTCCAACAGCAATACTTTACCAGGAGAGCACACCTCCTCATGAGGGGGCTTTTTCTAACACTTCCCTAGAGTTTCTGACACAAGCTCAGGGCAGCATGCCTCCTGACTTCTCCCAGTCGATAATCACCATGACAGTGAGCTGTTCTTACAGAGGGCAATGCAGCATTTCTCTTAGCATGTTGAGAAGAAGCATTTGAGGACCACTATATACTCACCATTTTGGCAGTCTTAGTTGGTGAAGGAGGACCTTTAAAAAAAATAAGCCACATTTTAAAAAAGAAGAAGCATTCCCAGATCACAAATACTGTCAATATTTATGATAAAACTAGCTCCAACTTACAGCAGGCTAGTAAATTCTACCTATGTCTAACATTTCCTATGTGCCAGGCGTTAAACATATATCATCTCATTTCGTTTTTATGACAATCTTGAGGCATACATGTCATTATCATTTTATAGATAAGATAAACTAAGATTCTTCCTTTCACCATAGAATCAATGAGTGGCAAGGCAGGAAACTGATATCAAACCTGTCTGACATCAAACTCTAGTCTCTGTTATATTTGGTGAAGCCCAGGATAATCGACTCCTTACAAAGAGATTTCACCTTACTCTGAGCACATTCTACCATTACCCATAGAAGAAACCAGAATGGTTCAAAGAAATGAGAATAAGGAATAACTCTCTAATGGAATTAAAGTGCTCAACTGCCTCAAAAATGAAAACTAAAATCCAGAGAGATGAAAGAGTAAAGGGATAAATTTTACTCTTTAAAATACTAGTCATTCATAGGTATAGATTTAAGAAAGACTATTAAAATGCAACTTCGTGATTAGTCCTTGGAACTGGATTTCTAATGTCTGGGAGCAGTTCATGTCAGCTGATGTCCTTGGAAAATAAAAATTATATTTCTCTCACATAAGTATTGTAGGGTTTAATTAACATTTATGGGCAGATACTAGAATTTAAGATAAAGGCTTTATGAGCACAAGCTATCATAACTGCCCTTGCAGAATAGATTAACACACTATCCAACATTTTACTCATCTATAGAGATGCTAGCTCTTTCAAAACATCTTCGGTGCATTACAGGGGTCTAAATGAAGCACCACTGGTTGAAAGAGTCAATTTCTATTATTGTCATCAACAGAGAGAATGAAATTAAGAGGATATATTTCATTGTAAATGGCACAATGCTGTAACTCTAATTATTAAAGCCATAAATAAAAATTTAAAAATAATATAGAGGGAAAGAAATCCATAATGCACACAAATAAAACTACTAATAACTAAAAACAAAACAAAAAACACAAAAACTGCAGAGAAAGATACTGCTTATAGAAACAATCAGACAAAGCCTTAAGAAAAACACACACTAATTACCAGTTAAGTCTGCTGGAAAAAGACATTCTAACCTGTAGGGAAGGACTATTAACAGATATAAATGCTTGAACATTAAAGATTTTTCCTCATTGTGCTTTTTACTTACCTCCTCTTAAGATAAGTAATGGTACATCTGCACCTATTGGAAACTGCTTTAGCACCTCTACCACTTGGAGATGTGTTAAATTCTGCACATTTTGATGGTAAATTTCCTTAATTATATCCCCTTTCTGAAGACCTTGACACCACTGGCTATCCAATATCATTTTCACCTTCTGTCCAGTAGGGCTGTCAGCAATTGCAAACCCAAAGCCTTTAGGCCCCTTAATCAAAGGGACAGTCACTAGTTCAGGTTGGGAGCTGCCGGACGATGCCATGGATGCTCGCTGCTCGCCTGGATCTGACGGTCCATTGAGACGATCACTGGTCAAGGTGTGTCCTGATTTTCCATTCTGGTCCAGAACGACTGCTCCTGGCTTAAAATCCTGAGTATTCATGCAAGTCTCTCCCTTGGTTAATGACTGTCCATTGATGACAGGAGTAGCAGCAACAATGTCCACAACAGGATCTTCATTGTCATCAGGAAGTGGATAACCACGACATAAAGTGAGGTTTACATACTGGTTGACAGGTACCAACTGGAACATCTGGACAACATCTGCATGAGTGTGACCAAGGACACAGTTGCCATTGATGTCTACAATAACATCACCTGGTAAAACATAATCAAGTTAACAATATTAAAACCACCAAATAAGTCAATTTTTTGCTGGGGGGGGGGCGGTGGAAGCAAAAATAACTTAAGTGTAGCAAGTAAATTTGAACCTCTTACTGATCATTAACTGCTGAAAAGATAGATTTCCAACACAGACATTCTCCCTTCTGTAACTCTTCTCTAAAATGTATATATAGATGTCTAAAATCTTAATCAGCTTAACAAGGAAAGAGTTTTGACCTCAAGCTTGATTGAATCATTAAAAAAAAAAAAACCCCTGCAAATTCATATGATCATTATTAGTATACCATCTGAGTCGTACCTAAGTGGGCATACAAAGCTGGGCACATTGTAGTCAATATTTAGTTCACAGAATAGGAGCAAATAACTCCATTGGTTACTTGTACAAATAGGCTATCTTTAAATACCACCTTATTTCTTGAGTTTAAGAAACCATTGTTTACAGTGACTTTAAAATTCATTCTAATTTAAGAAATGTAGAGCTGACCATTAGAATGATGTTACCTTATTCATGTATTTTCTTTCAGCATCCTTCTTTTTGTAGAGATTTTAAATTTATTTTAAATCAGATTTCAAAAGGCAAAACAAACAACAAAAAATTCAATACAAGCAAAGGATGCATTACTTAAGACATTTAAAAGTTAGCTAAATTAAATCTTATTAAAGTTGGTTCTGCTTTCCTGATTTTGTATTGTGACCATTTTGATTACAGAATCATGACTGCTTGACATTCATCAGTTGGGTATTTTTTTAACACAGTCTTCACTTTTTAAATTTGTCCTCTGTTGTCTCACCCATTTGCTGCTTTTATTTGAATATGACTATTTAAAAGTTTATTGCCAAATAAAGTTGCTTTATTTGTTATGATTGCTTGTAGCTTTAAGAAAAATCAACATGAGTGGTGTTAAAAACAAATGTTAATCTGTGGAAATTAGTTTCAAAATTTAAGAAGATCTAGAAATTAGACTAATTAGAAACAAAGTTTTGACTTTTCTTCCCCTGGTGAAAGCTCCCAGAATTTTCACGGAAGTATTGTACTGCTATGCAAATTAAACGATAACAGATTTAGGCAAATCTAAACTACGTTATAAAATCCTGACAGTATATACAATAGCTAAGAGATGTGTTTCACGAACACAATGTTGAAAATGTCAAAACTGAGAACTAAAAGAAACCTTACTATTAATTTTAATCTGAGTTAATTAATTTTGTACAATTAAAAAATTTTCTTTATAAATACAACTTTTGATTATTTTAAATTTGCTTGTTTTAAGTTTCTTTTACCTCAATGGGAAAACATAGTATGAGAGAATCCATATCCTAATTGAAAATAACTTGATATCTATCATCGAAATGACACTTGAACCATCCAAATACAGGTCCATATTTACACAGTGTGTGAAATAACAAAGAACTAGAAAAAAGTCTAGCAAACATTGCAAGAAGCAACCTCAATGGAATACATACTAAAATCATTCTGGAAAAAAGTGCTTAAACTTCCACTGTAATTAGTAACTAGCCTTGAATCTTCTCCAAGCTCCTCAGCCACAAACATTGCCAGCCATATTAAAATATCCAACAATCACTAAGAGTTTGGGAAATCTATATAAAGGACAACTTAAGTTTATACAGCTTTGTAAAAATAGTAATGTTTGTATCTATAATTCTTAATATAGGAGTTACATTTTTAAAAAATCTTGGGAAAAAACTGTAGGATATAACAATTTGTTATAAACAAATCACTATAAACATCACAATGTGTGGAGTATACTAACATTAATAAAGCAAATGTATTTCACAGGGCCTAGCTTCCACGATTCTGTAGTTTCAGGTATAGCCTAACTTTTTAAAATTACACATAGAAATGTTAAGCTTGTGAAAGACAAAAAACTTTCCCTGGGCTAAAGTCTGTTGTAGATGAAGAACTATAACACAGCAAAATTGCTGTCTCCAAGGGCAGATGTCCTCAGTGCAGCCAAACCTAATGATTGTTGCCACGACAATTATCTTACTGTTCTTTTGTAACCACCTATGTTCCTTTTCTGTAACTTTCTGGCCTGGAGAATAAATACTGAGAGAAGACCCAAGTTCAGTGTTAATTTTCTGAGGAATGCCTCTCTCTTGAGGGTTCTGGAAATTAACCCCTTTGGGGCTTCTCACTGCTCAGAAGAAATGGGCTTTGGGTAATCCTTTGCATCTCCGTCACCCTGGGGGAGAGGTGACAACTGACCATTTTTCAAAAAAGATTATAGGTAAATATATGATAGTTCTCAAGATACCCTATATAATCAAAGAAAATCAAACAAATAATTTACACAAATACATGTGTAGTTTTGTACAGCCAAGTGATTATCTCAAAATTATACAAAGTATTCTCCCAAATTGATAAATTTAATATTTTCTCTATTAGTTTCCACTTATTTGTAAAAATGGTCTGCCCTAAAGCTAGCATGCATTTAATTTAGAGGATAAACTATTTTAGTACAGGAATCTAACGCTTACGTTATATAATTTAATTCTTTCTCTTTCTCCTTATATATATAAAACCTCTTCACTGTAATATTTGTTATAGTATCACTACTCTTCAAGTAATTCTGAAAAATTTGTTACCTGGTGCAATTTTCCCATCCTGAGCTGCGGGACCATCTTTCAGCACATTTTTCACTTGTAAGAATTCATCAGGCCTATCTCCACCAATAATCGTAAAACCAAATCCCATTGTGCTTTTTTTCAGTGATGCTCGAACAAGGACACCTTTAAGTTGGGATGGATCTCGAGTAAAGTGTGATTTTTCCACATCTGTGCCAAAATGAGAAGTGGGTATGAGCACAAAAATAATTACAATGTATAAAGCCCTCAAAGCCAACCTTCAAGATAGTCTACATAACTTAATTATAAAAAAACAATAAAGAAAATTAGAATCTAACATTAAAGAAGAGTTAGAATTTAAACTTAATAAACGAAATCATCTCCAAAACTAACGAAAAAAAAACCCTTAGCTAATGAACCATTTCTATGTTATTTCAAAGGTAAAAGTACCTACTTTATCTTCTCCTCACTGCCTATTTGTACTCACTTTCTCTCACCCCAGAGTCCATTATACGAAGTCAAAATGATGCACCTGACAATCTTTATTATTAAATTTCTGAAAATTTTGGACACTCATCCAGCTGTACCCTTCATTTGAAAAAGCATCTACTGAGCTCTGTGTGGAAAGCACTATACTAAGAAGATGAAGGCAAATGTCACAAACTTATGAAAGAGAATATATTGAGAATTTTTATAATTTACAAGTCAGGCTTTCTGCAGCCTTTAATTTATATTTGATGGAAGGAGTGAATCCCTGCACGTTAGTAAATAACTTCATGTTTCTTACCCTTTCATTCCTGTTCAGTGGATACTTTAGAAAGAAAGAACCCACTGTTTTTGCACAGTTCCTCGGGAAGGCCTATTTTTAGAGGTTTTTCTCAGATGATCCTAGAACTAAAAGTGATCTCTATTTGCAAATAACACCTTCCTTCCCTTCCTCAGAAACTTTTCCTTCTTCTCCCCTACAATTAAAGCAGTTATGAAAACTATGAAAGGATCAAATTGTATAAATTTACAATTTACAAAGAATTGATTTTTTTTTAAATGGCTTAAAATTTTCTGCCATATATATTTTGGAGGGTGGATGGCTGGCCAGTACAGGGATCCAAACCCTAGACCTTGGTGTTACAATACCACTGAGCTAACCAACTAAGCTAATCGGTCAGCCTCTATATCTATTTTTAATAGTTTTACTGAGATATAATTCACATCCTATAGAAGTTAGCCATCTAAGTATATAATTTAATGTCATGCAACTATTGGCACAATCTAATTTTAGAACATTTTCTCCCCCTCCAAAGGAAATCCCCATGCCCATTAGCAGTCATTCTCCATTTCTCCTCAACCCTCACTCTGCACCCCAGCCTTAGACAACCACAAATCTACCTTTCTGTTTATAGATTTGCCCAATCTGGACATTTCATGTAAATGAAATCATACAATATGTGGTCTTCTGAATGGTTTCTTTTATTTGGCATATTTTTGAGGTTCATCTTTATTGTAGCACATGTCAGTATTTCATTCCTTTTTATTGCTAAATAATATTCTACTATGTGGATATATAACATTTTATCCATCCATTAGTTAATGGATATTTGGGTTATTTCCACTTTTTGGCTATTATGAATAATATTGCTATGAACATTTGTATACAGGTTTTTGTGTGAACATGTTTCATTCGTCTTGGGTATATACCAGGAGTAGAATTACATCAGTTACTATAAACGTATGGTAACTGTGTTTGATATTTTGAAGAACTGCCAAACTTTTCCAAAGTGGCTGCGCCATTCTGCATTTCCCCCAGCAACACACGATGATCCCAATTTCTCCACATCCTTGCCAACACTTTTCGTTGTCTGTCCTTTTGGTTGTAGCCATTCTAGTGGGTGCAGAGTGGTATCTCATTGTGGTTTTGTTGCTCATTTCCCTAGTTAAATTAACAAGGGTGCCGTGTTTCATACTTAGCTCACACTCAGCACTAGTATCATGGCCAGAGTTATCTGTTATCTGCTGCTGCCCCTCATAGTAGGATGTTCTTAGAGGTATGCATTAATGCTTATTGCACATTAGAAAAAAACAGCAATCCTTGGAGTTTCCCCATATGGTTGTGCAGATTATACAGTACATATATAGCTCCCTCAAGTGGTGGGGGTGCCCTGGAAATACTGACAAAGGCAGGTTTGGGGTGGGGAGTAGGATCTACCTTATTTGATACATTATTCCCAGATTTGCTGATCTTTTACAAATAAAAGCACTTGGTACAAAAAAAAAAATCAGCTATTTATTTTGGGCTTCTTCAAGTAGAGAACTAGACTCCAGACAGCAGTGTAGTTACCACAGTATATGACATTTTCTGAGGCCTCTCAGAGGAAGGCTAGTCAGCCTGCTTGCGGTGATACCCCTGTGTATTGCTGAGTTCTTGATGAGCTTCTAACATTCAAAATTAACACTCTCTGAACAAAATATTACTTTTTAAAAATTATTTAATTGCCATGTGCAATATCCATGTAGTTATCTAAGTTGATTATGACTGTCCATTAGTATTGTCTACCAGATTGTAGATAAGAACATTTGTTTAATGACTTAGGTACTTGAAGACAATCTTTGATGAAATGTAACTTTCTCATTTTTATGTCAAATATTGAGCTATCTCTGTTTAGCTAGCTCATGCTCTAGTCTCCATGAATACTGGAATAAGATTGGCTTCTGTGGCTGGTAAGTTAGCTCAGTTAGTTACAGCACAGCCTTATAACACCAAGGTCATGGCTTCAGATCCCAGTACCAGCTGGCTGCCAAAAAAAAAAAATTTGGATTCTGAGGGCGAAACTAGAAAACTGGAGTATAAGGAATGAGATCTAAGATGTGCAAACAATAAAGAGAAGGAATGTTATGGTTAACACCTACTTTAGAAAGCATTAATTTAATAGTCAAAGCCAGTTAAAAGTTGGTCAGAAGTAGGTCTTATCAGAATTAAACACAGAAAAGTGAGAATCATAAAGGCATAAACTGTCTTTGAGTCTAACAATCTTGATTTTAAATCCAAGCTTTGTGATTTAGTTGAATGATCTTGAGCACATTATTTAACCTTTTTAAACCTCAGCTGCCTCATCTATAAAATGGGGATAATAGTACCTAACTCACAGGATTGTTACAGAGATTAAATTATGTAATGCATAGGAAGCATAGGAAACAGTGCTTGACAAACAGTAATTGCTCAATAAATGTAGATGAGCACAAACCCATATACACTATTAAGGGAGGTCCCCTGGCTCACAACTTGCATTCTTCTGTTCCTGTGACAAGTATAGCCTTGGGATGGATGCATCAGACAATTTTAACTTGATGCCATCAAAGCACCTGAATGTGGAAAATAATATTAATAACCTTGCAGAGCTATTTTGAGACTTAACTGAGATGATCTTTAAGGATGAACATAATTTCGATAACATCCAGAAAGCCTTTCTTGCCCTCCCACAGAATTAAATTCTCTCTCCTTTGTGTTCTAACACTATTATTTATATCTCTATTATCATACTACATAAAATTGTGTGTCTATTTCCCTGGCTAAGTTGTGAGCTTCTGAAAGACAGGTGTTGAGTCTTTACTCTTCTTTTAATGTCTAATTCATAGGAGAGTGCCTGGTTATTTAAATCAATAAAATACACAGTCCCTGCCTTTATGGAGCTTAGAGTTGAGAAAGGGAAAAAAGATCTCCCTTGATATGTCCCATGGAAGGCATGGAAATTCAGAGACTGTGTATTATAATACAAAGAACTCTGAATTTAAAGTCAGTAAAGCTAGCAAGATTCAAATTTTGGTTTGACACGCACTACGATTCTAAGCTAGAGACTTAAACTTTCCTAAAGTCTCAGTTTCCTTATGTATAAAATGGGAATTCACGTTTCTCTCCAGTTAATGTCTTCTGTTTATAGTCTTTCACAGTCAAAGCTCTCAAAATATTTGGCTATTCCCACTGTCTCCAATTTCTTCGCCTCTCATTCTCTCTTCGTTCTATTGCAATTTTACTTCACTCTCCACTTGTTCTTGCTAGGGTGATTAATGGTCTCCCTATCACCTAATCCAATGTACACTTTTCAATCTTCAACTTTTTCGACTTTCCAGCAACAAGTGACACTCAACTTGCGTTTGAAACTCTCTTCTTCTCATGTCTGCCTACCCTACAACCTCATCTCTTATTGCTAACTGACAAATATCCTATGCACTAGTCATTCTGACCTGTCCTCTGGCCCTTGGACATACCATTTCATGCTTCTATGATGTTATACATCCTATTCCTTTTCCCTTGTATGCCTTCTTGCTCTTGTAAAATTTTTATCTACCTGCTTCAACTTTTCCTGATTCCTCAAGACCAGGTTCATATCTCCTCTGCTCTGAAATTTCTCCTGCCTCCTTGACTTTCCCACCAAAGCAGCGTTGAGCACTCCCTCCTTTAGGCCATCACTGTACCTTGTACATTTCTTAATAACAATGAAAGCTATCATTTATTGATCACCATGTGCCAAATACCATTTTAAGCCCTTTACATGTATTAATTTGCGTGCACGTAACCATCTTAAGAGGTAGGTGCTATTATTATTCCTATTTGATAGATGAGGAAACAGAGGCACGAAGAACATAGGAAACTTACCCAAGGTTATACAACCGGGATTCAATTCTGTTCCTCAGCCTGCACATTAAATCAGTATTCCAGAATGGCACATATCACCTTATATTGTAACCATTAGTTTCCTATATTAGACTGTGAACTCTTGAGGGCAAGTCCTCTCTTACTCTCAATCATTTTTGAACACCCAGTGCTTAGCAAAGCACCGGGCATATTGCAAGTGCTCAAAAATATTTGTTAAACTCAAAATGTTTGCTAAACCAAAAGTAAAACTTAAGGGAGGAGACTATGTTTTTGAAGAGTAGTTATAAAAAAGAACTGTACCTCTCATGGGCAACAGAAGTGTAGAGTCTACTGGATTACTACAATATGACCACATAGACCCCTGGTCATTAATGAAAGAATGTGGAAAGGAAGAAGATGGGGAGGGATAAGTAGAATGTGAGAACTTCCTGGGCATCTTCTTCAAAACACACATAACTAGGCTCATCAAAATCTCAGGACCTATTTATTTTTAAAATGTTCCCCAAATGATTCTGATATTACTAATACCTACCCTCCCACTTGAGACTCAATGATGCAGGCAAATAATTTGGTAAATTTATTTGGTATTATTAACATTGGTTAATGAAGAATGCTGAATGGTTACAGACATGAGATTTAAGCAATTAATTTGAGAGAAATTCATAATGAACTAGAGATCTAATACTGGCCTGAACTTAAACATAAGGAAACGGTCTAATCATCAAAACAAAACCTCAAACTCATAAAAAAAAAAAAAAAAAAAAAAAAAAAAAAAAATTACCCAATCCCTTCTCCTAACAAACTTTTTAATATAACCACGAGAAAAATCTCAGTAAAGTCACAATGTTCAGATGTTTTATTAAGATTATTCATATCTTTACAACAACAAAAATTAAACACTCTCTGCTGAATTTCAAAGCTCCAGCAATAAAAAGTTCAAAATCACTTTTATTAAGTCAGCACACAAATTTCACAAGTTATTGTTGGAAAAAAAGATGAAGAAAAAAGTTCTACCTGGTTTTGAAGACCCAATTTCAGCCTGTCCTAACTGCTTTTTCCTTTTGGCTTCCTCTACCGGATTCTCAAACTGGGTTTTCTGGTTAAGGTGACTGTAAAATGTAGAAAAATATGCATTTCAGTTTAAGGTAAAAGAGTTACATATTTTTAAATAGACTATCATACCATTCCATCCCCATAGATCAAGGGACAAATATGTATCTTTAAGGTATGGAACACAGAGAAGCTGACAGATGATAGTGGAGGGGCTTGTTGGCAATGAAAGAAAGGCCCACTGAAGATTCTAAAGCTGCTAAAGCTTATACTACATTTACTACATTTTCTTCATAAACCTATCCAATACAGCCAATAACAGTTTTCAAAACTATGGTAGAAGACTTCTTATCTGATGCAATCAGAAGTGTGGGCAAATGGTCAGTTGTTTTTAAAATGATAGAAGGGTTTTAATTTAAGATTGCCCAAAACAAAGCAAGCTGTAAAACATTTTTGAAGAAATCTTAGTAGAGAATCCTTCTAGAATATTACTATTACTTTCCCACTGACTTACCCACCTCTATTCAACAGCAACTAAGAAAGTGACTTGCTTTTATCAAATTGTATTATAGAACAACTCTTTCACACTTAGATTTCTTCATAATTATATAATAAGTTATATAATTATAACATAAGTTCAACTGGCTTTTATGATTTGGAAACATTTACAACTGACTCTTAGAAAGCACACAATTCTGTGAGGGAAAGCAGAAAAGCATGGGTAGACTAGACGGAAGGTGACTAGCCAGTAGTATTCAACATTCTGTGGGCAATGGTATGTTTTACAGAGGGGATAGCACTGTTATTCTGGCAAGTCAGTTAAGTGAAAGTTGGTTAAGAATGCAACTATTGTAAAAAAAACATGTCTGAAACCACAAATAGGTCTAATGCAGAAGCAATGAGAACCATATTCTAGCACTTCCATAATACAAATGTATTTCAGTCAGATGATACATATTTTCCAGTACAATCTACTTTAACAAGAAGTGACATTAGTGAACACCAACTATTAAACACCAAATCATGAGCATTTCAGAATATGATTCTCTTTAGATAGGATGAGTATTACAAGACTTACATATAAACAGTCACACAAATCAGATATTTACTTTGCCATTTGTGGACATTAATGTGATGGTGAAGAAAGGGGCAGCAGAGACCAACAAACCAACCCTCACAGTGAGTAATATTAGCTTTCTCTATGTTATTTAGGCTTCTAGTGCATATTAACTTTGCAACAGACGTGGCTATTTAGATTCAGAGCTCTAAATATGGCAAATTCCACTTGACATTCTTTGGGTTCTGATTTCACTAACAATCAAGTATGCTTCTGCTTCATACTACAAGGGGGCACCTTATCCACTGCATTAAAGCCCTCTGAGAAAATACAAATCTTAGGTACCGCTTTTATTTATTTATTTGTTAGGTACTGATATTTTACATATTCTTAAAAAAAAATCCACACAATTAAAAGATGACACCCAGAAAAAAATAAATCTGTTTGGAAAGAACCTCGGCTCACTTTAACGTCACCAGCTAGAATGACTCACTTTGCCACCCATGCATTAGAACATAAAAAGTAGTAATTTGTATTTATACCCTTTGTAATGTGTGGGAGAAGAGGGTAAAATTATGCAAATGAGTAATCCCTTTCCTGAAAATTCTTTGACATAAGAATGTAAGATTTAGTGAAGGGAGTAATTGCATTGTTACCTTAGACTAGCTAGATTAAAATGCCACACCCCAAAGTCAAAACAAAAAAGTGAAAATACTCTCCTTTTCGTTTAGTTACTTATCTCCATAGTACTATTAAGATGTAACAGATTTTGTTTTCCATATAACTAGCTATGGAAAGTGAGAAGAGACTATTACAGATTATCAGAAAAATTAAACATGGGTAGCAAACAAGCATAATTAAATATATAATACATAATTTGGGATATCATCTGTATTAAAATTTGTGCTTAATATCTAGATTTTACAAAAACCAAAAAAAAAAAAAAAAGGATAAATTCATTAAAAAGCACTGTCTTTTAAAAAAAAATTTTTAAATCTGGATTTTAAAAATTCATCTCAGCAAACAAAATAATTACTCTTTCATGAAGAGTTTGTGATATGAAAGCAGATGTATATTTTGACTTTGTCACCTGAGTGTGTCAAGCCATTTAATGTAACATAAACAACACAAAATTTCTAAAAATGTAAGCATTTTTATAGAAGACCTGATATTAAATTTTTGGAATAATTTTATTTTCAAAAATGAATTAATCCATTTCAGAATTTCACCTTCTAAAACAAATACTCAGAAAGAAAAACTGTCACTGCAGTTGGTGTTATTACTACAAGGCTCCTGCCAAGAACAATCATTGTACCATCTGGTTTGACAAACTAAGAAAGGCAAAGAGTAGCCATTCAAGTAACAGCTTTTTATCTCCATCAGTAAACTCACTGCAGATTACTCTAGTTGAGATTCAAAACCTAACTAATCTGGGAATCAAGCCACACTCCATAGCTCAGCTGACTCCATACTAATGTGCATCTTGAGTACAGTTTGCTCTTTCTTAATTTAATAAATTACCCTACTGTAAATGAGCTTGTTCTGGGAACAATCATACAAAGTTATGTCTCTGCTACTGTTTTTGCTTCTAATTCAGGCTATTTCATGTACCTCCAATGACAACTGGGAGCAGGTCGCTTCAGTATTTGTCCTAATGCTGCTTCAGTATTATATCCTTGCTTAATGAGAACCAAATCATTCAGCTCAAGATTTTATAACAGGCAAATGACTTTCACCTCTTTGACCATGTATTCAAATTCACATGGAATGGATAATAAAGAGAATCAGGACCATTATCTTGGAAATGTTCAGCAGTGTCAGGCAAGTGATAGTTGATTGAAGCCCAATTTAAATAGATTAAACTATGATGAAAAGAAAAACTCCACAAGACCTTTTTAATTGGCCTCCAAATATTCCTTTGACTTAAAAAAAAATTCCTTTATTTTAATTAAATATGGCTTAGGAAGAAAATAACAAAAGAGCTGCTGTATACTTTCCACATCACAGTTATCAGTAAGATATTAAATGGAAACACAATGGAAATAAAATAAGCATAGCCTTTCAAAGGAACCAAAATATTGAAACTGTGAAGTTATATACCTAAAGGTCAGACTAATTGAGTTGTTTCCTTAGGGTACATGTTAGATTTTAAGAAGTCACTCTACAAATCTCTCTAACCATAGTGACTCAACTTAACAACCTACACATTACAATGAAGACTTGAGTTATGACAGAAATCGGAGATACTTACTTTAGGGATAAGTACCAGGAAATGGCATTAGTTTATGCCATAAGAGATGAAAAATAAATAAGCAACCCTAAAACTAAAAGATTTCATGTCTGCTTTTTTTCCAGGTAACACCATTTTGCCTTCTCTACCTAGGCAGTAGGTTCAGATTCCTAGTTTCTAGGTAAATAGTAATGTATCTGATACAATTCCTTTCCTGGTACTAGACACCTGAGGTCAAAATTCTATCTGTAACATCTAGAAAGAAAGCAATCCTAATGGCAGTAACAATGTAGCAATTAGATAAAGAAAGAAAAGGTTAAGAAAAATTAGATGTTGACAGCCTAATTAATCTAACATAGGCAGGTGTTTGGTGCTCCTCTGTGACATATATTTAAGTTTAAATTTAAATTTAACCATAACAGCTACGTAAGTAACTTTCACTCCTCTCCCCCTCCACCCCAAAAGGAATACTAAGTTACCCTTGATTGACTCCTTAAAAGAGAGCACACCTTTAATCATACCCTTCCAAACTTTGGATCATTATGTTACAGTGCCTTGAAGTCCTTTTACTTCTCTCAGAAGTATACGGTGGTAGTGTTAGAAATGACTTTAGTAGTGCCCAGTGCCCTCATTTCACAGTTTTCCATCTACTGCCTTTTTCTTTAAAAGCTATAGTAACAATAGCATCTCCAGCTATTAGTCCTCTAGGCAACTTCTTTCTTACTCTCTATATTTAGAAATTCAAAGCCAATATCTGGGAAGCCCAACGTCAGTGAAGTAAATGCTCACGGCCCATACCTTCTCATTCCCCTAGCTGAAAAACTTGAAAGCTGGGGGCCGCCCGGTGGCGCACTGCTACAGTGCGCCGCTTGAGAGCGCGGCAGCACTCCCGCCGAGGGTTTGGATCCCGCATACAGACCGGTTCCCGCTCACTGGCTGAGCGAGGTGCGGGCGCAACACCAAGGGTTGTGATCCCGTTGCCGGTCCGGTCCGGTACGGGCGTGACACTGAGGGTTGCGATCCGTTGCCGGACACGAAAAAAGACAAAAAGGAAAAAAAAAAACTTGAAAGCTGGATTGCAGACGCATAAAGTTCTGTACCCAATACTCCCTAAAGCTGTATGCTATGCTGAAAGAAAAATATTTGGGAGACTATTAACTGAGGTAATAAACTTACTCAACATAGTATGTCCCATACTGAGGGTCCTCTATTTTCTCCCAGCCATAAGGAAGCTCTGTAAAAAAAGAAAATTGAGTTAAATGCCAGATTCAAATCCAACAGAAAAAAGTTCCCCAGTGGGTGAATTTGGTTTTTATTTCATTATACACTAATATTTGGGAGTCAGAAAGTTGAGGGCTCAGTTTCAAAGAACACAATTTAAGTTTGTGTGGCTTCTTCAATAACCAGTGATTAATCTCAGCAAGTAATTAGAAGCTCAAAACAAAAGATGATATTAAACTAAAAGGTGTTTATCTGAATCACAGGCCATAAAAATACTAATCATTTTTTAAAAAATCATTGTGTATTTCTTTCATTTAGAAAGCTTGATAATGCTGACAGGAGACACACTTACCCTAGAGTCCAATACAAGAAGCAGCTGCTTGTTAAATTTTTCTACTACTATACATAATCACTTCTGTTATTATATTCTGACCCACTTTTCCCCAAAGGAAAATCTAGCCTTGGATTTTTGTCATTACATTACACGTGGGCAATCTAGATTAGCTTAAAACCGAAGTACCTGCTTTCCCTTGCATTAACTTGATCTGAGTATCTGAAGGAACACTAATTTAACTACCACAGTGCCCTACATAGTCTGTATTTTTAAATGGTAACAAAGAAATATCTTATGTAGCATTATTATATATTATTTATTCAAAGTAACTGACCAATAGGATATAACCAGAAAAACTGAAAGCAGTTGAATTTCTGATAGTTAAAAAAAAATTGTGGCCTTTCCAACATAAACTGAGTCTGTCAAGAAAGAATCCTCTTTTCCTTCCCACTTTGTCTGCATCCCTTGTAAAGTTAAAGTTTCTGAAGAACCATTTTATTAGTCAGACATGGATTAATTTGGCAGGAATGTTCCTAGTAGGTGGTTCTTGTGCTATTGATTAGATATACGAGTTGAGCAAGAAGGAATTTTTACAAAAAACCACAGTTGTACACTATGATGTCCTACAGTTTTATTTACAATTTCTGCTGTGCTAAAACACATACACTCACAAATGAAGTTAAGCTGGATAGCAAAAAGGCTTATCAAAAGACTTACTAATTTTGTATCATTTAGCCTCAGTTATGACATATCAACTTTGTAGGTAAAAATTCCATTATAATGAACTTGACAAGCTATACAAACTGTTTTGCTCTAATAAAAATTATTATTCTGCATTCAGTTTAAAAGAAAATAATACATGACTAACTTCTTAGTGAAAAACTGAATTACCCCACCCCTTTTCTTCAGCATATTTTTCTGCATATATATTGATTGGTGATTTTGAAGTTTGGTGTTTTGTGGTTTTCCTTGGAAGGACCTAGTTGAAACGTCTGAGGAAGAAAAGATGAGAATAGCTGAAATATTAAAATAGTTGAAATATGCGAAATCAGAACAAAAAACTAAGAACTGAGCTATACTTCAGATCACTTTGATCCTCCATAGCTATGAAGCAAACAATCATCAGTTAAATAGGGATAACATTTTATCATCAAGAAACTGTTACAGGGATAAGATTTTGGAATATATCTGTAAAAACACACTATAAAAAAAAACATTACCCAAAGGATTCTCATTATGGATCTTCCACCAAAGAGACTTTTGTTCTTTAATAGAAATTTTCTTGAAATAGCATGGAAACTGAATGGCTCTGAGTAAGGATGAATTCTACAACTGCACTATAATTGGATTTATGCTTTGTCTTTAGAGAAGTTTGGAGAATTGAAGGAACTATAGAGATAGCTGAAAGTCTATTTGATATCTGAAAAGTTCACTAAAAAGTATGCATTAATAACAAAGACAAAAGATCAATATAAATACATTATGTTAACAACATAAAAGTGTCAACTTGAAAGTTGATTTAGCATTTTAGTTAGCACTTAAAGCAATTAGCAACTAACAGATTAAGTACAGCCCTTTCTTTAGGACAGCAAAAAAATGTGGCAATTTATCTTCTGGGTTACTTTCAATAATTTTAATCTCTTACCACTGATACCATTAGTCAATTTTTTGCAGGGAAGATTAACGTAGATAAAGAAGTGGTTACTATCTGCTCATTTAAAATGAAAGTAATAAAAGCAAGACTAAAATACTTAGCAATTTATACACTACCCTGTGGATAGATTCATTTACTCATTTCCTTTCTGTCTTCCTTTTTTTTCCTTTCTCCCTTCTCTTCCTCCACTTTCCTCTTCCTCATGCAGAAATAAAAACTAGAAACATAACACAGTTCTTGACCTCAAGGAGTTCATAATCTAGACAGGAAGACAAAAAAGATAAATGACAAGATGAAGATAAACACAAGCATTCTCAGGGAGTGCAAAGGAATGACACCAACTGCCTGGTAAGAGTAGCTCTCAGGAAAGCCTTCTAAAAGGTGATGTTTGAGCAGTCTTAAAGGATGAGTTGGGATTAGGGAGAGGGAGGTCATTCCAGATAGATCAAAAGGCACTGAGGTGTTAAGAATGCCTGGCATTTTCAGTAGTTACAGATAATTTTGTAGACTGGAGTCAAAGTTGTATGCAAAGAGAGATGAGTCTTTGAGCAAGCACCAAATTACAACATTCTTGGGTGCAATGTTAAGGAGTTTGATCTTTATTCTGATGATGATGGAACTCATTATGCTAGACTGTGACAAGATTAAATTTATTTGAGAAAGACTATGGGCAGCAGTAACAGAGGATGAAATAGATGGAGTGGAATGAGAATAAAGGCAGACAAATAAAAAACGTTAATAGACTAGAAAGAAATAATTAAGGCTGAAACTAAGGCAGTAATAGTAGGAAAGGAACAAAAGAATGGATAATAGAGATGAGGAAGTCAGAGTAATAGGACTTAATGGCTGCTTTGAGGATTGAGGGAGAAAAGGCTGGGAGGATGCCAAAATTCCCAGGTTTCTGGCTCTTCTGGTATGAAAATGATATATTACCTAATATTTATTGAATACTTAGTATGAAAATGGCTATGGGAATAAAAAGAAGAAATTAGTTTGAATTTAGAGGAATTTTGGAGACAGATGATAAATAAAAAGGGCCTAGTGCCTATCTATCCCCAATAGACACAAGAAATGGCAGGTTTGAAAGTTAGAATTGATGGAACTTGGTAGTTAACTGCAACAAAGAGGAGAAAGTGAGGAAAAAGTTGAGGATGATAATCAGTTTTTGGCTCAAACAACTGAGAGGATATCATGTCATTTGATGAAGGCAGAAAGAGAAAGTATTACATTTGAGTGGCCCATGGAACATCCCAGTAGAAATATATAACAAGCTCTTGGCAATATGAACCTGGTACTCAGAAGAGAAATATAGGAAGATAAAGATTTGGGAGACATTACAGTTAAAGTTATGGCAGTGGACGTGATTACCCAGATAAACTGCAAATAGAAAAGGATGGAGAATAGAACATTATGAGCCCTAACATTTTAAGGAGCAGAGGAAGAAAATAAGAATAGCCAGGAGGAATAGTGTCAAAGAAGACAGAAGAGGAGAACATGGTCAACACTAACAAATGCTTTGTAAAGCTGTCAGGAATAAAGATAAGGACTAAAAAGAGTCTAGTGGATTTGGCAATCAGGAGGTTATTGGTAAGTTTAAGAAAAGCAGTTTCACTGAAAAGAGAGGTTCAAAAGTCAGAATATTATAGTCACTGAAGAGTAAAATAGGAGGCAGAGTCCTTAAGAAGAGATGATTTAGGAAAAAACAAACAAACCCCCAAAAACCTTGATTTGAAAAAGATAATGTAAGAACTATGGGTAGAATTAGGGCCAAAAGAAAATGTGTTTATTTATATTTGAGATAGGAAAGACCTAACCCAATTCATCTTTTCCTGTGTTAGAAGCCAAAGCATTCCCCTAAAAAGTTTATTCAAAAGGCAGAACTATTTTTGGCATATCAAGCAGCTGGTTGGTTCTAAAGCCCAATAATATATCCTACTTTCTTTTCTCTACTCAAAATAGGACTTTTTCTTATTTAAATGTATGAATTACACTTGCTTTCTCATGGTGGAGCTCTATTCAGTTGATAATTTTCGTTTATCATTCTCTAAGCTCCAAAATGACATCAACATTCAATACATCTGTAAGCTGCTTTTAGTAAAAATTTAATCTTTCTTTCAACCTAAGAGAAATATGGTGAGTTGAAAGTAAAATAGATTCCTGATGTCATATTTTTAAGATAACTACTGAACCAAAACACTAATTATTTTATTTGAACAGAAGATAAATATGTACATCAATTAAGCCATCAGATACAGTGTAAAGACATAGTTGGGTTCTGAATATCAGAACACTGGGAAGAAAAAGGCAAGTTTTAGAAACTGTAAGGTCTTTCTAGTAGACCTTAAATGTTCAGTAGAATGCAAACAATATCTAAAACTATAAAAACATATATTTAAAATATTATTATTACCATTCTCTTTTCAGCATATACTCTGTGCAATGCACTATGGAGAGTGCCAGTGTGAGTCAGGTATAGTCTATCCTGAGAATAGTTTATTGTGGGTCTATTTTCCCCCTACTGAAGGGGAGACAAAGTGTACAAAGAAAGTGTTAAAAGTTGGCTAAGCATAAAACAAATAGGCTTAGGGTTCTAAATTGTGGGCTCCCCACCAGATAAGTACAGGCAATGTTACAAAGGTGTATCCAGTTGTGGGGATCGGAGAGTAGCCCTTATATTAAAGGGTTTTGAACATTCCTGGAATACTGAATGCAATTTTGCTTGTTGTATCTGAAGAAAGATATAATTAGGATGGCCATAAATGTATTGTCCACTTTTGAGAATAAAAGAGGACACTATTAATAATTATGAAGGGACAACAGGAATACGCTGGGTTAGTCCTGGGCTGACCAAGACATATTGTCACCCTTAATGTACAGAGTATTAGAGGGATATGCTTATCCCAATTCTTCAAATTCTATATTGGCAAAAGAATGGGAGAAACATTTCCCATTTCTCTAAGCCCCCTCACTTTCTTCCTCAAGGAAAAAAGAATGTCATATCTGACTGCTGAATTTTCCAGAATGAACTCTATATGCTGGGACTCTTGGATTTTCTGGCTGTTTGGATGCCAGCCTGCCTACAGAGGTGCATTCTAGTCTGTTCTCCCCGATGCTTTCCTAATGCCTGCAGTTGAACACAGAGGCCAGAGACTGAGTGCTTAAGTCTGCCTCCTGTAGGGGTAAATATCAGTAAGCCGAAATAGGTGCAGGGCTAAAGCCACATTTACTCATCAGCTGGCATTCCGACTTCATCTGTCTACTGTGTCTTATTTCTCTATTGATTACAAACTAATAAATAAAGACAGACTTATTATGTATTACCCTTCCCCCAAGCCTTATAGAGATTTAAAAATATTTCCAAGAAGGGTGACCAAAATAATCTTGGAGGACAGTGTAGCTTCTTTCCCTTCCCTTCTTTCCTCTGCCCCCTTTTCCCTCCTTCCCTCCCTCTTTTCATTTCCCCCTTCTGTCCTTTCTTCCCTCTTTCCCTGCTTCCAAACATTTAAGTATTGAAGGGATATACAGATGAAGAAGACAAAAGCATTGCTCTTAGAGAGTGTGGTATCTATTAACAATGCAATATAAGTGCTACAACAGAGATGTGTCACATGATACTATGGAGTACAGATGGAAGAACACCTAATTCTGACCTGGAAGAGAATGACAGAGGAGGCTACCAAAAAAAAAAAAAAAAAAAAAAAAAAAAAAAAA